AAACTGTTAAAATACTGTATTATAATGTAATAGAGCCACTGATCTATATATAATTATAATATAATCTCTATTATAGATCAGTGAATAGAGCTAATGTACAGTATGCATTACAGCAAAGGCCTGCAGGGGGCACCAACGGCCTGACGATTGTTTTTACACATTGCTGTGCGATCTAATCCTTGTTTAATATTGACCAAGCACCATTTCATTCAAATGTCCACTTAAACTTTAATATTTGGCCATTTCTTCAGGACAGAAATGCTATAGCCACTGTTAATTCATTAAAAGAATATGTGGACATCAAAACGTGTAAACTCAGAGTGAGGGTTTGAGCTTTTATTTTAAAACCGCGATGTATTCTCCTGTGTTTGCGTAGATTTATAAATGATTTAACTTACAAATCCGATGAAATGACTTTGATTTTTACAACAGTGGATTGCTGACTGTACATTATCCCTTAACGCTATACTTTTTTCCATATTGTTGCATAGTTGGCAGTGGCTGTACCTGTGGTATGCTGATGAGGGTGACGGGCTGTCCGTGTATGGAGGCCGGCTGCAGACCTCGGGCAGGTGAGATGGGCTTCACAAAGATCATGCTCTGTGGAGGGAGCCCCGGGTGGGGAGATGGAAGCGAGCTGGCCTGTTCAGGAGTGGAGTTTGGTGTGCTGGTGCCGGGGATAAGGCCCAGATTCTGCAGGGTGAAGTTGAGAATGGCAGGACTGGGGCTGTGGATGCGATGCCCTTGAGAAGGGAAGGGAAAGATGGACGGTATCCGGTTCAGAGGGAGTCGGGTGGGGGTGATTTCTTGAGGAAGAGGAGGTCTGGAACCTGCAAAGAACGGATACATCTGTGATTGATCGATTCATCACATGCAAGTTTACCTGCATTTCATTGACACATGAATAGTGCTCCGCACAAGAACCTCGTAACTCAGCTAATGCTCACTAGCTGGGTTTCCATCCAATTGTGAATTAGGTGCATTTCCATCAAGTTGTTCGAGTGGCTGACGGTGGTATTGGTAACCTAGTAACCAACAGTAAATAAAAAAAATGGAAAGACACCAGCCGA